TAGGTGTCTCAGGCACAGAAACGAGGAATTGGGCTTTCATTCCATTCCTTCATTAAAAATTTAAATGTAATTTTAAAAATTACATGTAATTTCAATGTCTGACGCAACTGAAGACATTATTTAACTAACGTGGGATAGTACCTAAGCCTCTTTAAACAGTCCCCCCTGGAGATCCGAATGGAAGCTGGGACGGAGGCCGGCCGCTTCGAAATTCAAAGTCAGAGCAATGAAGGAAAACAGTGAAAACCAGGAAATTGGTGGAGACGACCGTCTAAAGCGATACACCACACTCTGCCATGAAAGTCTAACTTCTTAAAATGTTAAATTGATCCATTAAGTAACATACCCCCAAAATGTTCTTTCACTACAAACACGGTCAGCTTCTTTGGCATTTTCAGATGATGGAGCTGATAGCCCGGAGGCTGACAACGCCTCTTGTTCTCCTACACCTCGACAGAGAAACCCCCGTAGCAACATTGAGACTGGATTTGGTCACCGACTCAATTCGCTTTGGTGTGAGAAAGAAGCTTCTGGGGTCCCTGCGCCCGCTTCCTGCGCTGAGCTGTGAGGAGGGAGGGTCTCAGCATGTCCGTGAGACGCGGGTGGGAACAGGGCGCTGGAGCACAGCTCTGGGACAAGCTGACTCCCGCTCGTTCCCGCTCTCCTCCCGCTGCTCCGCTGGGCTAAGAGAAGCAGCCAGTGGAGCAGACGAGGGCTCATCCCTCACTCTCCCCACACCACAGCAGCCGGTCCTCACAAGGCAAAGCGAAAGCCACAGAGCACCTCTCACCGAGGCCTTCCACAGGAGACCAAAGACAGACTGAGATCCTGTTTTAAAGAGGACACGGAAACACTGGCACCAGTGACACTTATTTAAATAACACGGCTTACAGAGAATGTGTGAGGGAACACAGGTTCCCTGAGGCCTGAGAGGTTAGTTCCTCTCGGTCCCATCATGAGCACTTTGCAATGAACACCCTCATGAGGCACTGCAAGGGGCATCGGCATCCAGAAGACCAGGTCCAGCCTCCATGAGCACATGCAGTGTCCCCAGGCCAGCCTCCATGAGCGCATGCAGTGTCCCTGGGCCAACCTCCATGAGCGCATGCAGTGTCCCCAGGCCAGTCTCCCTAAGCGCGTGCAGTGTCCCCGGGCCAGCCTCCATGAGCGCGTGCAGTGTCCCTGGGCCAGCCTCCATGAGCGCATGCAGTGTCCCCAGGCCAGTTTCCATGAGTGCATGCAGTGTCCCTGGATCAGCCTCCCTGAGTGCGTACAGTGTCCCTGGGCCAGTCTCCCTGAGCGCATATAGTGTCCCCAGACCAGCCTCTCTGAGCTCGTGCAGTGTCCCTGAACCAGCCTCTCTGAGCGCATGCAATGTCCCCAGGCCAGCCTCCCTGAGCGTGTGCAGTGTCCCTGGGCCAGCCTCCCTGAGCATATGCAGTGTCCCCAGGCAGCCCAGCTCCCAGCACTGACAGCAGCCAGGGAGACACGACAGCCAACTGGTGGCTCAGGGCAAAAAGCCAAGGCACGTGGAGGGAGACCAAGTTCCTACACTCCGAGGAGAGGGACGTAGCCTTGGCCGAGTCCACACAGCATGATACACACAGTGGGACCCTTCTCAGCCTAGGGCGGGCTGACAGAGAGGGGGGAGGTGGGGGGAAGGTAGGGGAGGGAGAGTCAGCCCCCCTGCCCGCCTGCTTCCTTGGAAGTTGCCTGCCCGCATCCCTCCTGCCCCTCAGCCCTTACGATGTGAAACAGGGCCCCAGAAAGGCCCTCAGTCCCCACTTAGGACCCTCTGGACACACTCAACCCTGACCGCTGTACACCCACTACGTGCAGGTCGACAAAACTGAAACCTCAACGTCCTGAATGTGAAGATCACGTGGAAATAGTTGTGACTTTCATGAATAGGTTGGAATTTTTTATTTTCTATTTTGAACTGCTCACATTTCCCATTCCAAATACTAGAATTCTAGGAACACAATAAGCGCCTCGACCTGTGTAAGGAGGAAGGTCTCGGCCAGTGGGGTCTCCAGTTGAGCCTGTAGGGTCTCTTCGTGTGCCTGAGTGTTTACGTGATGCGTCAGAAAGGCAAGCACCAGTGTGTTCCCCGCCACTGTAGACAGTGGGAAAGGAGGCTTCTATGTTGTAGAACCACAAATATTGTCACAGCCAAAGGGAAAGAATACGGATAAATATGTGGACCTTCAAACACCCAAGGGACAAGAGGCAGATCACAAACTCAAGCGAGAAACAGAAGGTGTCTGACTTAAAACCGCTTTTATCCTACTTCTTACTGCCTCAATCCAGCATTCTCTGGTCTCCTTTGACACCGAGAAAGTAGATACATCCCTCCCTCTGTGCCAGCTGGGAAGAGACCACATCACAGAATAAGGGTCAGAGGGGAAAGCCGTGGGGGGAAGCCGAGGCTCGTGGCGTCTGAGCAGGGCAGTCACTGCCCGCGGAAGCCCGTGGACACGCGTGCACGGGGCCTTGAGGGGAGGAGGGAATGAGAGTTCCAGGGGCCCAGACAGCGACCACTCTGCCCTCCTCAACTTGAAGGATCCCACGCGCTGTTTAGGTTATATTTTTCCTCAACCAGGGTAGTTACTTCAAGTTACTTGAAGATAGGTAAAGGTAAAGGTCCTCCTGTTGATCATCGATTTGCTCGAGCGGGCCCAGTAACGTCTCCATTGGAGACTTCGTTGTTACTGTGTCTGGCATATCGAATACGTCACGGGGAGCTTGCCAGGCTCTGCCATGCGGGCGAGATACTCTCGGTAGCTTGCCGGGCTCTCCGAGAGGGGCGGAGGAATCGAACTCGGGTTGGCCATGTTGGCTGCGTGCAAGGCAAACGCTCTACCGCTGTGCTATCGCTAACCGAAAGGTTGGTGGTTCGAGCCCACCCAGGGACGAGGCGAAACTTTGGGGCTGGAGCGATACTTGAAGATGGAAATGGATTTTCCACCAGTTAAAACTTCCTTCCCACTGACCTTCCAAGACGATCTTAGGGACTTTCCTCAGTAAGTACAGCTCAAAGACCCCAACGTTACTTTCAAGCAAACACAGAACCTACGAGAAGACAGAGAAGACAAGGAGCCGCCCCCCCCCCCCACCCCAGCCCTCAGTTCTCTCTCAGCCTCAGGAGAGGCCACTGGACATGACAGAGCAAGCAGGGCCACAGCAGGAGACAACCGACAAGACACATCCCCCAGGAAGGCCCCAGCCCATGGGGGGGGGGGGGGGAGGGCGGGGGGATGTCACTGCACACCCAGCTCCTGTGCAGACTGGAGACGGAGGCCAGCCTTCACCCCGTGGGCAAGGAGATGCTCGTGACTGCCCTCCACAGGCGGGTCAGTGAGCAGCAGGTCACCTGGGGCACTTTCGGGGATGGGGGGGGGGGGGGGCCCAGCGTCCCTCCCCTTCCTTCCCAAAGTCTGAAGCCACTTCCTGGGTGCCAGGAGGTTTGCAGGGAAGAGGAAACGAGTGCTGAGGATGAGCACGTGGACTCGGGAACACACCAGGGTCTCCACCACTCGGGCAGGAAGGCAACAGAGCCGACAGCCCCTGAAGCCGCAACCCCTCCCCCGAAACAGGCAGCGGGGCTGGAACGGGGTCCAGGCAAGGGTGCGGTGAGCTGGCATGAGTCATGCCAGGAGTAGTCACATCAAGTTACTTGAAGATGGAAATGGATTTTCCACCGGTTAAAACTTCCTTCCCACTGACCTTCCGAGAGGATCTCAGGGACTTTCCTCAGTAAGTACAGCTCAAAGACCCCGACCTTAGGGTCACAGGCCACTGAAGCACAAGGTCTGACCACATCCAGATGCCACCAACGGAGCAGATCATTCTGACCGCAAAGAATTAGGAAGGTGTTAAACTTAATATGGAAAAGCCATGAAGAGAGGAAAATCAACACCGAGGCCCCAGCACTGTTGGGAAATGACCTGGCCAGGCTTGTACAGCAACCTCTACAACCACGCCAGCCCAGCGAGTACGGGCTCCAGAGAGAGTGCAGGGGTGACCAGCACCGACCGGCCTGGCCTGCAGCTCAATCCACTGCCATCCCCGGCAACACGGGCCCCCAAGCACAGGGATGGGAACAGCCCCCGAGAGCCACCCGGTGTGGCCCAGAAACAAAAAAATGAAACAAACAAAAACCCACAACAAGTGATCGTGAATATGCAAGAACACGGAAATAAGCGTTTCAGCAACGAAATGTAAGAACGATCACAGGCGAATCTTAGAAGAGGAAAAGCAGAGTAAGAAAAAATGCAACATATAATTTGCTTCCTAGCAGAATGGAGAGACGGAAGAAAGATACAGTGAACAAGACGATGAGCAACAGAAATTTCCACCTGAACGAGAGAGACAGAGACTGAACAAAAATGCCCAGAGCAAGGACGCGGGCCCTGCGCTGAGTCGCCTGGCTCAGGGGTGGTGCCACGGCAGAGGGTGACGGGCATGCCCGGCTAGGACGGTCCTTCCCCCCATGGTAGGAAATGCGGAGCTGTTCCTCCTGGTCTGAGGGAGACCGTCGCGAAGCTCCCTGGGAGGCCAGAGCCACAGCAGGGCGAGAAAAGCCCCTGCCTCCACGCAGCCCATCCGGGTCTGATCCCCAAACACCCCCCGGGGTGGTCCCCAGCTCCGACTGCGGGAAGGGAGTGCTCGCGTTCCAAACAAGCCACGAGGGAGGTTACAGATCGGTTTGGAATTGACAGGATCCAAAACTCTTTCCAAATATCAAAATCCGAAAATCAGAATGTTCAATTCCACTTTATCTATCAGAGAATTTTTTTTTCTCTCAAACTGAGTCAGTTTCCTGACCAACGGCTCCTATAGGCTCCTTCTTTCCGATGGCATTTATCACTGACTTCGTCAGTTCATCGATGATTAATATGGTGGAGCACCTGAGTCTCGACTCAAACAAATGCTTATTGAGCACTGAATAAAATCGTATTGCGCGTTTAAACCAGAAGGTCTAAATGTTGCTGCTTTACCTGCAGTTCTTTGTATCTATCTTGGAAGGAAACGGCCTCTTGCTCTTTCTCCTTAAGGAAATCTTTTTCTAGGACACCGTGCTTTTCCAGCAATGATTCTACATCCTGAAAGAAAATTTCAAGCATAAACAGTTCATGGCCAAGGGAACAAAATATTCATATTTTAGATATTTCTATTTTATAACAGTTTATGTAATATATAATAGGCAACTGTTTCTACAATATCTAATAGTATAATATAATGGAATAAAATATTTATATTTTATAATAGTTAATGGAATAGCATATTTTTTATTCGGTGAACATACCAGAAAATACTTAGTAAGGAAAAACCACATCGAAGTACAGGGTAAAGTCTAACAATTTACAGGCTGCATTTCTCACTCATTTCCACGTGGTTATCAGATGCTAACACTAAAGTGATTTTCTCTAATAAATGAGTCAGGGCATCTAGCTACCTGCAATCACTACACTCTTCCCTTCTCTGCACCTTCCAGAGACATAAGCAAGAGCCACCTGTGACAGCAGCCACGCTCCCCGGGGACCCACCGTGCTCTGAGCACAGGCCCCTGGGCCCAGCCAGTGTTGACAACTGCCAACTGCAGAAGAAAAAAAAAAAAAAGACATGCTCGCTCTCCGAGGTAAGGAAAAGCGAAGAGATCCAGCTACACGCGGACAGAGCTTTAAAATCACGCTGAGTGGCAGATTTCTTATTGCAAGTTGTCTTATTTAAGTCCACATAAATTGAACTTAAACCTCCAAGGCAAAGGGTACCATCTTCTTCCGCGAACGAGCTGTAACTGGGAGGTAGAATTCGACCAAATTCTCAACCTAAGAAGGCAGGCATTCCATTTCTGTCTTCCTGTTCCATCTTGCTGCCAAGATCTGACTCAGGGCCACATGCACAGGAAGCTTCTCCCTGCCACGGAGCGAGATCCCTGCCACTCTGCCAGATCCCTGCCATGGAGCTCAATCCCTGCCATGGATCTAGATCCCTACCACTGAGCTCGATCCCTGCCACTCATCTAGATCCCTGCCACGAGCTAGATCCCTACCATTCAGCTAGATCCTTTCCACTTAGCTAGATTTCTACCACAGAACTAGATCCCTTCTGCTCAGCCAGATCCCTTCCACGGGCCTCGATCCCTGCCACAGAGCGAGATCCCCTCCACTGATCTGGATCCCCAGCCCAACAATTTTTTTCCCCAAGGCGAGCGCAAACATACCTTTTTAATTCTCAGTTTTTCTTCTTCAGAAACTTTGAGTTTCATTTCCAGGCTGGAGATCTTCTGTTGCAGCTGTGCGTTTGAGGCGTTGACCCCAGGGTCCTCAGAGCCGTCCCCGAGAGCGATCGCGCCATTACTTTTCTCATCAGTCAGACCCAGTGGAAAAAGTGAGATGTCCAGATGAGTGTGTGTTGACTGCTGCATCTAAACCACATTTTGAAAAATACACAAGGGGGGAAGTTTACACTGTGCCAGTCATGAAAACATCCAAGGGTACCAGAAACCACATTTGAAAATAGGGTTGCAGCAAAGGGTCTGTGATTGTTTCACCCTTTAAAGTAAATCACCCAAAGACCTCAAACTGCTACAACAACCTGATTCTTGCAGGAAAAATATAAAATTTCCTCTAAACTGTAGAGTGTCTAAAGCATTTCTCATTCTTGCAAGCATTCAGAAACATTTTCTCACCCTTGAAAGTATACAGCTAAGTATGCTGATACTCACCAGTTTTCATTTATACACACACCCACAGTGTATATATATATATATATATATATATATATATATATATATATTGCTTTTTGGGTCACACCCTGCAATGCTCAGGGGTTACTCCTGGCTCTGCACTCAGGAATTATACCTGGCCGTGCTCGGGGGACCCTATGGGATGCTGGGAATCGAACCTGGGTCGGCCGCATGCAAGGCAAATGTCCTACCCACTGTGCTATCGCTCCAGCCCCACCCACAGTATATTTTAAGTTTCAAATAAGAACCTGAAGTGTACCAATACTCCAAATTTGATCACCACTTCCTCATAAACACAACAGGTGATCCAAGGGGTCAAAGAACCCTCTGGAATCAGAACCAACTCCAGCATCCAACCCAACATCTGGACCAACAGATACTTGAATGAACAAACCTTAGAACTGCAAGGTTGGATTTTTAACTTAAACTCAGGGTCAGAAGACAGGACAGCAGATAGAATCCTTGCTGTGCACGAGGCCAATCCGGTTCTATCCCCAGGGCTCCACCTGGCTCCCAGAACCCCATCAGGAGGGCACCAAGTGATTCCTGAGTGCAGAGCCAGGAGTAAGCCCTGAGCAAGGCTGGGAAGGCCTCAAACCCAAAAACAAATAAAACCTAAAAATAAAGCCTTCAACACAACTTCAGTGATTGCTCTAATACCTGAAAAGCCTACAGTTTGGTTTCTGAAAAGAGCAAATACTGTTTTATGAGGACTTTTCCTTTGATGTCATAGATCTAAGATGCAAAGCTGAGTGACTTTTAATAAATGAGAAAATCCAATCACATTCTAGTATATAAAGTTATTTAGACCTCCGGCAATTGCGGATAAAACAACCTACCCTTCCACTCTTCTAAAAATTCTAGGCACTCCCACAGAAATATGAGAAGAATATGCACAAAAAAAAAAAACTACCCGTGACGTATTCGATATGCCAAAAACAGGAAGAGCAAGTCTCACAACGGAGACGTTACTGGTGCCCGCTCAAGCAAATCGATGAACAGTGCTACTAAATCAGAAACACTTCAATGAAATCATCAAGACACACACACACACACACACACACACACACACACACACACACACACACACACTGCGATGCTGGGGGTACAATCCGGGGCACCGTGCAGGCCAGGCCAGGCGGCCCCCGAGCCGGGCCTGCTCTCGGCTGCGTACCTGGGCTTTCGGAGGAGTCTGGCTGACAATGTTGCTCTCGGCATGGGTGCTCTCCGGTGAGGGGACGGGCTCGGACAAGAGGCGGCCGACCTGGGCAGGGCGCTCATGACCCAGGACAAGTTCGGGAGAGGCTGGAGAGAGATGGGCTCCAGGAACTGCAGGCAAACACACGCGACAAAGGGAGGTTACGGCGGAGATCACGGAGGCCGGGGGCGGCAGCTGGCAGGCAGAGGCAGGGGAGAGGCAGGCCCTCTCTGAAACCCCCAACGCCCCGAGGTTACCACGATACTCGTGACACCAACACAACCCGCCACCGCCACAACCAAGCAACTCCTTGACGTCTTCATGTTAGCACAGGAACACGGGGCCAGGAGACCGCTGCCACCGTCCAATCTGCCTGTTCTCTCAGCAGTGAGCCCGAGAGACTCGCCCAGCTCTGGGGGGCAGGGGAGAGCGCGAGTGAACTGGGGGTGCAGAGGGACAGAGGCCCCCCGTGAGGAGCGCCCAGGCTGACAGAGGCAGGCAACCGTCTCTCTTATTAACTTAGGCTGCCACGGACAAGATGTTCGGGTCAAAGTGAATTTTTTGCTGGCGGGATTATTTCTCCAGGAAATAACAAAGGATCGTTCCGTACGTGGTTTCGCAACAAAACATCCGAGTGTGACGAGGGTTCGGACACAAAGGTCAGGAGAGAAAAGCCAATTTCCAAGCATGAAAAATGACAACAGAGATGAGGGCGAGATAAAGACGCAAGATTTGCACCACGGCAGTCTCCAATGTCCTTTCTGATCGTTCGCGTGCGTCTGTATTGTGTGTTTTAGTGCTTGCGCGGGTCCTGTCGGCAGCAGCCGGGCCTGCACCGAGTTCATCAGGCCCTTTGTTCCACGCCACCCGCAGGGTGACGCCTGAGGAGTTCTGCCACAGACACTGTGAGGGCCGGTGGGCACAAATGCACTCACGCCTACCGCTGTGTGCCGGCGCCCCCAGGACCACCTCACTGCCTCACACCTACTTGGAACCAGCCGCCACCCTCGCGGGCACTCCTTCCCTTGGCCTTCCCCCCACCCCCACTCCTGCCCGCTGCCCGCCAACACGTCACTCCATCTCCCTGCCATCTCCTGCTCGGCCTTCTCCATCTGGCCTTACGTGGCCTCGTTCCTAGGCCTCCCGATCTTCTCCATGTGTGTTTGCTACTTTCAACTCCTAGTATTTAAATGACCAGCTAGAAACGCTGGTGTGGCGTCCAGGCCCCCAAAGTGCCCAGCCTTACCCGGCATCTTAGGAGAAGCCCCTGGGTGGTGGCATGTTCCCCATCCTGGTCAACAGAGCATCGGTCACCTCCTGGCTCTGGCCAGTCGCGCTGCCAGGGCAATGTCCTCCCCGGGACATGACACGGGCGGCTCCTCTGTGACCTCACAGTGGTGCTGCAGGCGGGAGGGTCCACCCTGGCAGCCCCGGGGGGCACCTCTGACTCGGAGAAACAGGCAGCCACGGAGCTCAGCTCAGCGTTTCTCCTCCGATTTCCGCCCATGATCCCCTCCCGGCTCGTCTCCTTCCTGGGCCCCTTTCTACCAACTGGCCCCAAGGGCTGCGCTGTGCCCCCCATTTACACAGTCTCCACCCGGGCCCCTCGGAATATCCTGGGGCCCCCAGGGAGCCCTGTGGCTACCGGCTGAGAAACCAAATCGTGGAGATCCATTACCCACCCAAACACGAGAAAATTTTCATTTCCCAATGGCAACAAAGCATCGATTTCCTAAAATACAATAATTGAGATATTATCTATCGACCCATGGGACACATTTAAAGCAGTGATACAGAAAAATACAGCCTCGGGGCTGGAGCAATAGCACAGTGGGTAGGGTGTTTGCCTTGTGCGCGGCCGACCCAGGCGACCCGGGTTTGATTCCTCCACCCGTCTCGGAGAGCCCAGCAAGCTACCGAGAGTATCCCGCCCACACAACAGAGCCTGGCAGGCTCCCCGTGGCGTATTCGATATGCCAAAAACAGTCACAACAGGTCTCACAATGGAGACGTTACTGGTGCCCGCTCAAGCAAATCAATGAAGAACGGGAGGACAGTGCTGCAGTGCTATGTGATTAATCCCAGTCCTCAAAGACCAGAGTGCAGAAAGGAAGGAAAGCTTCATTAGCATTCTATAGCTTCAGCATAATATCAGTAACTATGCTTGATAACTTGGGGCTCAAACTATAGCACAGCGGTAGGGCGTTCGCCTTACAAGCGGCCAACGTGGCCGACCCGAGTTCGATTCCTCCGCCCCTCTCGGAGAGCCCGGCAAGCTACCGAGAGTATCTCGCCCGCACGGCAGAGCCTGGCAAGCTACCCGATATGCCAAACACAGTAACAACAAGTGTCACGATGGAGATGTTACTGGGCCCGCTCGAGCAAATCGATGAACAGCGGGAGGACCGTGACCGTGACCGTGACATGCTTGATAAAAGAAAACAGAAAAATTAGAGATTTGTAGAATCACATATTAATAGCCAGGTGGTACTGTCAGTGATACACTGATAAGCAGAACTGAACACCACACTGAGAAAACAATATGCACTCTAGGAAGTCAAGGCTGACTCACTGCTGCAGAATTAAGGGAACGTGTTAGAACCAGATTAAAGAAGAACATTATGTGATTATCTCCAAGCCTCTGACAGTGCTTTTAATTTATCAAGAGAGTCATTTCTGTTAAAAACTCAAATAGGAATTGGTGGAACATTTTCTTTATATTATAAACAAAGAACTCAAGTTAGCACATTACCTATTGGAGAAAAACCAAAGGCATTTTCCCCCAAATGCCAGAGCCATCAAAGGACCTAACTAACACCATACCATTTAAAACTGTGCTGAAGGCATGAGCCTTTGCAATTAAATCAATAAAATAAAAGCCAGAAGACAGAAGATGCGTTATTTGGCAAAATGAGAATATACATTAAAGAGAAATAAACCCATGGTGATAGAAAACTACTGTTCCCATGAGCAACGAAGGAAAAATAAATAATTAGGAATAACTCTAGCAGGAATCATGAGGAAAACTCGGAAAGATAAAAGAACACCTTTGAGGGACTGAGGCCTGGGCCACAATCAGCAGCGCCCTGGGTTTCCCCAGCGCTCTGTGCTCAGGGATAACTTCCGGCAAGACTCAGGACAGCAAAGCTGGGTCTGCAGCAAGGCGAGCTCCCTACCCACTAGGCTGCCTCTCTGGCCCCAACACATTTCTTAAAGCCTAAAAGGTAGATAAGGACAAAAGCTCAAACTAGCTCTTGTAATAGGATATGGCCCGATTCAGGAAATCAGGACACAAGGCCAAAACTCCGCCCTGTGCGGGAGTCCCACTGAGCTGTGATGACAAGGGTGGCCCAAGGTCACAAGGCTGGACAACGACCTTTAAAAAGACGTTTATAGGCAAGCAACTGGCCCTACAAATTAAAGGCACAGCCACATTTCCACCAGACAAACTAGATTTCACACTGAAAGGGGAACTAGGAGATCAGAATGAGCATTAAATAATGCTTAAGTGCTCAATGCATCGCTAGGATTAATACCCATTAGCACAGGCACACCAGAGGATCACCAAAACCCAGGAAGAGACACCTAACATGCCCAAAGAAAGGCCTAGAAATCCCATTCTCCTCACCGGAAACCAGCAAGGATTGGACAGACTGAGCTTCATCGCTTATAAGAGTCTCAACCCCGAAAAAGACCAACTCCACATTTTTCTCCAGCACACATGAAACGTTCTTGAGGTCAGACCACATCACGGAACACAAAATAACTGTCAATAAGGTCATGAAGATTGAAATCATATAAAGTATCTTCTCAGATCACAGCTGGATGCTAGAAATCAACCACTGAAAACAAAGCTGGGGAAAAAAAACTCAAACATCTGGAAACAAAACAACATTCTACTAACAAACTCTTGGGTCAGTGAGGAAACCGAAGACACAGACTTGGAAAGTTTCTGGACACGAACGAGAATGAAGACACGAGTCATGAAGGCTGCGGCGGGCGTGCAGGGCAGCCGTCGGCAGAGGTCACTGCATTTCGGCTTCTACTGGAACCAAGAAAACCCTCCAAGAATCAGAGCAGCCTCACACCTAACAAAGACGATGATTATCGAAGTCGGCAGGTGGGAGGAAGCAACAAAATTACAAACAAATGGAAAACCAGAAGACAAAGTGAAAGGTCAAGTCAGTGGACAAACACAACTGACAAACCCTGCATTAGACTTCCAAAATGGAAAAGAGAGAGAAAAGACCTAATAAATCGGTTCGGAAACGGGGAGGGGGTGTGCAAGATGAGACTGAGAATCTGCCCTGCATCCATGAGACCTAGAGTTTGATGCCCAGCCTGAGCCCACGAGCCAAACGTAGCCCCACATGCAAGCAGCACACCCATGCGTGGACTGTCCAAGCACATCCCAAGGAGTGTGTGAAAGCAACCCAACTGAACTGTGTGACTGTGGGTCCTTGACCACAGCAGAGAGAAGAAAATTCACAACAGAAAACACAGATACAGAGAATTTTAAGAAGTCCTTTGTATTTCTATATTCTTCGAACAACTTTAGGCCACGAAGTTGGAGAGCCCAGTGCGGAAACGGCAATTCTTGAGACTCACCAAACCTCTCTGAATAAGAAAGCTACAGAAAACCCGAACAGACCAGTAACAGCCAACAAAACTGAAACAGAAGTCAAGATATCCCCAAAAACAAAAGCTAAGGTTTAGGTAGTTTTACTAAACCTTCAAAGATTGCCTATTATTGTCCTTCTCAAGTTCTTCCCAAAAAACCAAAAAGGGGAATTCTTCCAGAAGCATCTTATGGTAGCATGAGACCCCATTACCCTGGATACCAAGGAAGAACACACATGATCAATAGCCCTAATAAACAAGCATGCAGAGATACGCCACGAAATAGCAGCCAACTGATTCAACCAAACATTACAAGGACTGTACCCCAGAGCCAAAAGAAATGAACTCCAGGGATGAAGGGCCAGCCAGGATACATACACAAATCAACAAATGTGACACATACACACACCAATAGAAAGAGAAAGCTTGTGCGCATGTCAACAGATGCTGAAGAACCTTCTGACAAGATGCAGTATCCATTTACAATAAAGACACTCAACAGGGCTGGAGA